CAATCCTACTTCCGTAGTGATACTGCCTCGGAAACCCAAGGAGGGGTCGCTATGAGTCAGGTTTGACTCGACGGCACATAACAACAACAACAATAATTAAGTAATTAGTTTTTTTTTAATTAATTAATTAATTAATTTTAATAAAAAAAAAGAACGATATTTAAATTGTAATGTATCAACAATTACATTAAATGTAAGCATGCTGAAAACTCGATTTAAAACACAAAGATTGTCATATATAGTGAAGGAGTTCTGGTAGCATAGTGCCTAAGGCACTTGACTGCTAACCAGAAGGCTGGCGGTTCAAACCCACCAGCCACTCCTCGGAAGGAAGGTTGGGCATTCCTACTTCCATAGTGATACTGCCTCGGAAACCCAAGAAGGGGTCGCTATGAGTCGGGGCCGACTCGATGGCAAATAACAACAACAACAACAACAACACTGTATGTAGCCTACAAGATAACTTTTTTTTTTTAAAGACCAAAAAAGGAAAACAAAATCCACAATAGGAAGCTGGCATGTTAACCAACTAGTCAGCTTGGTCTAAGGCTGAGCTGGAACATGAGATCATTGGATGTTAGGACTCACACAGTGCATACTGAGGTTCTCAAGGCGTAAGTAATACCTGAGAAGGTTCAGACTAAATTGGTGCCTCCCTATCAGTACAATTGAGCTTTTGGTGTGTTGATGACAACAGTGTATCCTGTTTTTATTTTTTTGCCATGTTTGGAAGGTGATATGGTCACATGGTGATGGCATAGTGTCCATTTCTCTTCCTAAGATACATCCCCCTATCTATTCTTACCCATTTGTGGGAATTATTCCTGGTGACAAGGTTTTCTGTAATTAATGGAGTCCCTTTTTCCATCATTTTCTTACTATGGTATGCATTGTCCAAATATTGGACCTTTCTCTAAAGTGGTGGGGATAAAACTGTACCATCCCAAAAGGATTTTGTGTCTGAGAGCAGATATGTCAAAAAGACACCAGATTAGTCCTAGAGCCTTTTAGCTGGTATCCTATGGGTAACAATTTAAATTCTGGTGCTAAAAATTCAAAGGGTCAAACTCAAAAGAAAATGGTCATTTGAGTGAATATTGATCAATAACAAGGATGAGGGATGGTTTTTCACTTAAAAATAATCATTACTTATCCTTTTTCTTCTTATTGAACCAAATCTGCCTTTTATAATTTGTTAATGAATAGGAATACTGTTCTTCCTATACAAGGGGACATTTAATTGTTTAAAGTCATTTAAACAGATACAGCAGTTTCTACCCTTCTTAGATAACTTCAATGCATGCATGACTAATGAAGTATTTCTAAAACCTCAATTTTACATAGCTTGGAAGTCTGTTTCTTAGCACAAAATCCTCAATTTTGCATTAATGTTTTAATATAATTATGGCCATAGACATTCTTATAATTTGTGATTAAAAAAACTGCAATGTTTATTTATTTATTTTTTTAAGTTGTTTTCCCTGTGTTTGTCTTTTAAAGCCCATTCTCTTTTTTGTGTGTTGTAGGTATAAGTGATGAAGTGAGTTTGTAGTCATGTTTACTTTTTTTCCCCCTAACAGAAAGCTACAAAATCACGGTCTAAATCCTACAGTATGGATGATGAAGAGGATGCCCAGCAGCACCCAGGCAAGGAGAGTGGCCAACTATACAGGTAAGAAAGATCACATTTTTTGTTCAGACTCCTGAGGCCTTATCCCCATAATCTTGGTGGTTTTGATTGTACCCGTCTAGAGAATCAGATCACTTGATAAATGCTAGAGGCAGTGGAACATATGAAGACCAACTGGACATGAGAGATAATATCATAAGTAGGGAACTTAGCACTATTAGGGAACTGGCACAACCCCCCCCCCAAAAAAAAAATTCCATTGTCATTGTATTGATTCCAACTTACAGCAACCCAGTAGAATAGAGTAGAACTGCCCCGTAGAATTTTCAAGGCTTTGTAAATCTTTATGGAAGCGTGCTGCCACATCTTTCTCTCATGGAGTGGCTAGTGGTTTCTAACTGGCAATCTTTTGTTTAGTAGCTGAGAGCTTAACCATTGTACCACCAGGACTCCTGCATGGCAGATGAGCCCTTAATAAAAAGTTTCTGTAGAAGTTGTTAGGTACAAGCTATATTCAGAGAACAGGGAGGGGCCCCATGAAGTAGTACAGAGGGCTACCACAGGAAACTAAAGAAGATAGATACTAAGCACATGTTAGGAGCCAAAAATCTGTAATCAGCTAGATGTATGTTTAAATTTTTGTTCTTCTATTTACTAACTTTAACGTGAGGCAAGTTAGGCCCCTTGATTGTATTCTACCTCTTAGGGTCATTGTAAGGATTAAAGGAATTAAACATGCATTAAATAGTGCATGGTTCAATTAAATAAAAAACAAAAACCAAATTCATTGCCATTGATTCATTTCAACTCATAGCGACCACTCCTTAGGTTTCTGAGGTGGTATTTGTATGGAAGTAGGTTGCCCAGTCTTCCTTTCGAGGAGTAGCTGGTGGGTTTGAACACAGTCAAATGCCTTAGCCACTCTGCCACCAGAGTTCATTTAAATAAGTTCTCAACATATTAGCTGCTGTCTTAATTGCTATTTATTAATACCAATAATATTTGTGATGAATAAAATACATAATTTCAGAACCCAAATTGTGACATATAATCTGATGTAGAATTTTCTGGCATTTTTTTAATACAGTAAGTCTCATGAAAGTGTATAAATTATATCACAAGTACATAGAGATAAATATACACATACACCCATGAACATATATGTACCTATTTGTACCTTTAATTAAAGACTAAAATTAAATGGAATTAGAGGCATTGAGGTCTTTTAGGAATTGATGAGAAAAAAAGAATCATTGTTGAGTCAATTCCAATTCATGTTGTTAGGTGTCATCAGGTCAGCTCTGATTCATAGCAACCCTGTGTACAACAGAACAAAACACAGCCTGATCCTGCACCATCCTCACAATCTCTGCTATGTTTGAGTTTGTTGTTGCAGCCACTGTGTCAATCCATCTTGTTGAGGGTCTTCCACTCTTTTGCTGGCCCTCTATTAAGCATGACATCCTTCTCCAGAGGGACTAGTCCCTTCTGACAACATGACCAAAGTATGTGAGACCAACTCTGGCTATTCTCGCTTCTAAGGAGCATTTTGGTTGTACTTCTTCCAAGACGGATTTGTTCTTGGTATTTTCAGTATTCTTTTCCAACATCACAATTTAAAAGCATCAATTCTTCTTTGGTCTTCCTTATTCATTGTCCAGCTTGCACATGCATAATAAAACCCTAACAAGCCAAACCCACTGCCATTGAGTCAATTCTGACTCTTAGCAGCCCCCACTCATTTTCCAAGGCTGTAAATCTTTTTGGAAGTGGATTGCCTCATCTTCCTGCAGAGCAGCTGGTAGGTTTGAATCACTGGCCTTCTGGTTAACAGCCAAATGCTTTACCCACTATGCCTCCAGAGCTAATAGGTGCCATGGCTTTGGTCAAATGCACTTTAGTCTCCAAAGTGACAACTTTACTCTTTAACATTTTGAAGAGGTCTTTTGGAGTAGATTTGCCCAATGACATACGTCATTAGATTTCTTGACTGCTTCTTCCATGGGTGTTGACTGTGGATACAAGTAAAATGAAATCTGTGACAATTTCAATCTTTTCTCCATTAATCATATTACTTACCGGTCCAGTTGTGAGGATTTTTTGTTTTCTTTTTGTTGGAGTGTAATCCATACTGAAGGCTGTAGTCTTTGATCTTTATCAGTAAGTGCTTCAAGTCTTTACATTCAGTAAGCACGGTTGTATCATCTGCGTGTCATAGGTTGTTAATGAGAATGAGTCTTCCTCCAATCCTAATGCTGTGTTCTTCTTTGTATAGTCCAGCTTCTCAGATTATTTGTTCAGCATACAGATTGAATAAATATGGTTAAAGGATACAACCCTGACACACACCTTTCTTGATTTTCAACCATTCAGAATCTTCTTATTTTATTCCAATAACTGCCTCATGAGCACAGTTAAATGTTCTGGAATTCCCATTCTTCACAATGTTATCCTTAATTTGTTAGGATCCACACAGTCGAATGCCTTTGCATACTCCATAAAATGCAGGTTAACATCTTGCTGGTATTCTTTGCTTTTGGCCGCAATCCATATGACATCAACAATGATATCCCTTTTCCAAGCCCTCTTCTGAATCTGGATTGAATTTCTGGGAGTTCCCTATTGATATATTGGGGCAATCCATTTTGAATTATCTTTAGCAAAATTTTACTTATATGTGATATTAATGATATCTTTCAGTAATTTCCTCATTATATTGGATCATGTTTCTTTGGAATGGGTGCAAATATGATCTCTTCCAGTTTGGCCAGTTAGCTGCCTTCCATATTTCTTGGCATAAATGAGTGAGTGCCTTCAGTGCTGTATATATTTGTTGAAACATCTCAATGGCTATTCTGTCCATTCCTGCAGCCTTGTTTTTCAACAATTCCTTTAGTGCAGCTTGGACTTCTTTCTGCAATACCATTGGTTTTTGATCATATGCTACCTCCTGAAATGGTTAAACATCGATCAGTTCTTTTTGGTACAGTGACTGTGTATTCCTTTGATCTTCTTTTGATACTTCTGCATTGTTCAATATTTTGTCCATAGAATCCTTCAATATTACAACTTGAGGCTTGAATTTTTCTTCAGTTCTTTCAGCTTGAGAAATGCGAAGCATGTTCTTCCATTTTGGTTTTCTAACTCTAGGTCTTTGTATACTTCATTACAATGCTTTACTTTGATTTGTCAGGCCACTCTCTGAAACAATTTCTGTTCAGTTCTTTTATTTCATCATTTCTTCCATTTGCTTTAGCTATTCTCCATTCAAAAGCAAATTTAAGAGTCTCCTCTGACTTGCATTTTGGGCTTTTCTTCCTTTCCTGTCTTCTAGAGGAGAGAAGTATGTACATGAGGGGTATGTGATGTTGTTGTTGTTGTTATGTGCCATCAAGTCGGACCCAACTCATAGTGACTCCTCTTTGGGTTCCTGAGACAGTATCACTACGGAAGTAGATTGCCCAACCTTCCTTCCGAGGAGTGGCTGGTGGGTTTGAACTGCCAGCCTTCTGGTTAGCAGTCAAGTGCTTTAGGC